AGGGGCATTTCCTGAAAGGGTGACAACTTTGGGAGTAAAAGATGGCACAGTACATGACTCTCTCCTGAGGTTTCACTCTAATAATGCTGACAGAATCATAAAGAATGATAACAGTGAATCAAACTACAGATTAATTAAATTGTATAGAAAATTAGACTTGGGTCTCATTTTATACTTGTTCTCAAGTGTGAAAAATGCTGCATTTAAAACTTTCGTTCTCATTTCTTTTTAAGTATTTAGTATAGGGTCTACAGGGTCTCACTACACAGATCGGACTTGAGTGATCCTTCCTGTTTTTCAGCCTCCCAAGCGCTGAGATTACAGGCACGCGCCACCACACCCATTCTCAATTGCAGTCTCAGCACACCCCAGGGGCAGAGCCAGCACAGCAGGCTGAGGATCAAATCCATGACCCTGTGTCTGCCTAAGCAGGCGCTTTAATCCGCTGAGCTATCTGGTTGGCCCAAGATCAAGTTTCTATTTGAAAATGGATAAATGAATCAAAACACAGATGGGCCTTAGTATTCCTAAAATAAAAGCAGTATAGATGTATGTGCAAGTATATTTATTGGAATATGGTGATGAAAAATTGGAAAGCTTCAAAAACCACTAATAGGAAATGGCTTAAATTACGAAGAATTATATATTATGTAGGTTTTAAAATGATATTGGCATCACATGGAACAGGCACAAAATATTATTGGGAAAGCAGGTTTTAGATCAAGGACTTTTATAGTGAGAGGACACTTGTAAAATTCTGCCTGCCACAAAAATAACATTCTGGAAATAATATATACAACTAGTATGAAATTCCAAAAGTACAAAAGTGGTACAAGAGAAAGATAACCCCTTGGCCATCTGCTCAGTGATAGCTATTGTTGTGCTTCTTCAACTACCGAATAATACAAATGCTTCATGTTTTTTATTTCATTTGCTTATTTGGTTTGTGAGCCAATGTGTCACTCTGCATGTAGTTCAAGATGGACTTGAACTCATTATGTAGTCCAGACTGGTCTCAAATGCCACCATGCTCAGCATTAACACTGTATCTTGTAGGTCACTTCATACCATAATTTTTTAGTCCTTCATATTTGGGTATTTAGAATGCTTGGCTTTTGCAAAAAAAAAATGCTGCATTTAAAACCTTTGTTCTCAAGTGTGAAACTTCTAAGATATTTTTAGAAAAGTACAGTATAATTGTATCAAGGATTATATGGACTTATAATTTTTATACTGTTGTTACACCCCAAAAAGTATGTTATCAAATTTCTTGAATTTATCAGTTGAGTAAGTCTAATAAAATGGTATCTAGCTGGGTGAGGTGGTGCATGCCAGTAATTCTAGCTCTGGAGGATGAGGCAGAACTGTCTGGAGTTCAAGGTCAGCCTGGGTTATATATGTAGTAAGTTCAGAGTCAGCCTGAATTACATAGAAACACTCTTCCCCCATTGTCTTCAGCAGGTAGCAGGCCAAGGGGGCCTCATGAAATCAAGGAAAATCACCTGGTCTAGCTCTTCATAAAATGGCAACAAAACTAAGATCCAGAGGAAAACCCACTGTACCAGAAGATCTGGGTAATGACCAACTGGCAATTAAATCTACACGCTTCAGTGCATTCGAAGGGGAAGAGAGCTGTAACAGATGGGAACCAAGATATAACAAGGGCCTTTGTGTAGCACTGTGGTAGGTTATTTGCACATGATACTGCACACAATTTTAGCCACTAATTCATGGAAAAATACCATCTCTACTTTTAAGGATGGGCCAGAAAGATTGCTCAGCAGCATAAGCACCTGCCTGGCAAGCACAAGGTTTGATGTCTGGTACAAAAGAAAACCCAAAACTTTTAAGGAAACAAGCTCAGAGCTCTAATGTAATATCCCAAAGTTACCAGCGTTTGTAAAGCCTAGAGCTGGGATTTGAACCTATGTGGATCTAACTTCATGATCCGGACTGATTTGTTCACCCTGCTCTTATTTATAAAGGGAAGATGTAGCCATGTCTGCCTTCTAGTTTAAGGCAATTGAGGAGGCTCCTCATACCAACCTTCACCTGAGGATATTTTCATCATTACCCACTGTTTGTAGTGCAGGGTCTTTCGAACTTGTTCGTTCAGAAGAAAGTTAGTTACTCAAAAACTATTTTGATTGCTTCCAAGTTTAAACATGAATCAAGTAGAATTCAGATTTGAATCCTATAAGAAGTATAATGATAATTTTATAGTGTAGACTTGACATAAGCTATTCTCTCCTACAGTTATTAAAAAAGCAGATGTGCTTTATTGGGATGACAACCTGGCGGTGCAGAACATCTTTTTACTCCAGCATTTTCCCTTCCAGGACTTGATCCTAAGGAGAAGAAACAGAAATAAAAGCAACATAGATGTATACACAGGTATATTTACTGGACTATGGTGGTGAAAAATAGGAAAGCCTACAGAATAATAGGAAATTGCTTAAATTGTGGAGAATCATATATTATGTAGGTTTTACAATGATATTGGCATGATAAAGTACAGGCACAAAATATTATGTTGGAAAGCAAGTTTTAAAAATACTATCAGGAAGAGTTCAGTTCTGTAAACCTATCTTCTTACTAATAGTCCTAGCGGATAAACATTAAATTGCTTGTGTGGGATTCCAAGGGAAAAACTGTCCTTTTTGCTATATTTCAAAGGTTTACAAAGAGAATTTTATAGCTTCATTCTTCAGTTTCCAAACTAACAAAAGTGAAACAAGGTTGTGAAAAACCGTTATTCTTTTCTGAAAAATGAGGATCATTTAACTCAAAAATAGGAACACTATGAATTGTCTTTAATAGTCTTGCCAGAAACATAAGAGCTTCATTGGTCAATACCCAAAAAACAGCACCCAATTGATCAATCTGGTAGTTAGGAAAAAAGTTTCAAGATGGGAATTAAAAACAATTGAAATAACTGTTAAAAAAAAAAAAAGTGTCCTAAAAACAAGGTTCATGAGAAGGACAAGAGAGGGAGCAGGGGAGATGTACTTATGTAAGCAGGATGGTTTGGACAACTGTACTGTGGATGTTTGCTGGTCTATGGAAAAGGAACAGTTGGTGTTTAATTTATTTTGTCTCCTTTTTGAATTGTTACCTTTTTCCCTTAATTTATTCTATCTTTTCTTTCTTCTTTCAATTTTGCATGCATATTTCTGGTAATATGAACAACTGATTTGAAGACAACACTATGGATACAAATACTGTCAAATTCATATTATTTTGTTTAGTAAAATTCTGTATCACGGGGCCCTGCCCATTAGCTCAGTTGTTTAAGTGCCTGCTTACACATAGCAGTCAGGCTCAAAATGCTGTGGTTCGAACCCAGATACTCACTCAAACTGGAAATGCCTGGAAGGGATCTTCAGGCTGGGGGGTGGGAATCCTTCTGTCATTTGGGGGCCTGCTCATTAGCTCAGTTGTTTAAGTGTCTGCTTAAACAAAGCACTCATGCTCAAGATGTTGTGGTTTGAACCCAGATACTCACGCCAAACCAGAAATGCCCTCAAGGCATCTTCAGGCTACCAAAAAAAAAAAAAAAAATCTGTATCACATGTTAATTATTGTTTTAATACTGTTTTGTACCTCTTTAAAAAATAAAAATTTAAAATGTATAAATAAATAAAAACAAGGTTGACAATAACTGCTTTGGCTGGGACAGGCAGAGTTGTGAGCATGCCTGCCAGGAGAGGCACTGCTGACTGGCCATCTCAACTATGCAGGTGAACAAAGGCAACCACTACTGCCCTGCCATCCCTCAGGCAGTCTCCCGGGCAGCAGGAACCCTCTGTGTCTTGCCAGAACACCAGTTGGTTCTGACTGTGCACTCAATGTACAGGGAGCGCACCGCCTGGTAAAGAGACCCACCACAGTGCTGGATGGAACTGCTGAAATTGAATTTAATATGCGGAGACAAACATTACCAAGAAGTCTGAGTTCTTACCAAATTGGAAAATAAAAAAAAAAAAAAATCTTAAGACATTATAAACTATATACTACTTTGCTTAAATGTTTTCATGACCTTTTAATTTTCAGAAATTGTTAAGAAATGTTCTCTAAAAATTAAATGACTTGTAGCATACAGGACAGTTTGGGACTTTTTGATTTTCAGAAGGCACTTCATATGTACAAACAATGTTGAACCTCTGACTAGTTTTAATGGCAAAGTAATTATACAAATGTACTGAACTTTCTAACCTAATTATCTCTCATCTTCAAGACAGATGTAGCTGGGAATAATTTCTTCTTTGGGCATAAAGAATTTCAATATATATAAAAGGGCTTTTTAAAAACAAAGCAAAACAAAACACTATAAGACCAATTTAATCACCAGTTTTACTCCAAATTCATTGCTTGGGTTTAGAAAACAAAGTTAATACTTAAATAAGGCAAAATATTATCAGACTATTATAAATAAGCTAACAGTTATCAAATGCCTACTATATGCCCAGGTCCTATGTTCACTCATAAGACTATAACTTCATTTCTAAAAGACCAGTCTCATATCTATTTTATAGATTCTTTTAAAATGGCTAAAGAACCTGACTTGCTCAAGATAATATACTAACATCAGAGCTCAAATTCAACCAAAGTTCTGTGAGAGTTAGACCCACAAGCCCTTGTCACTGTTCCTTTGAATAAATGTATATCTGCTTAATACTCATGCATTAATAAGGATTTAGTCACCCATAAAAAAAAGAAAGATCAGAACAATGCGGGCATCATTATTCCTCCACAAGTCAGAGGTAAGTAAACTGGTTTCTCAGGATCCTGTGTCAGGTCTGAAGCGCTGATATGACTGAAAAGTACAGTGAATGTTCACATTTTAGAAAGTTATCATAGTAAGATACTGGCATTAATGCCCCTCAAAATCTTTTGAGCACATCTATCCCACTGTACTTGTCACTTTCTGAATCAGTTCTGTAAGTCCTCTGTCAAGAGTGCCTTTAGTGTGCTTTCATGGCTAATCCAATGTTATGAACACAAACATCTACTTTTCATTGTCATTTAAACTTTGGGGAAGAGCCAGAGGTCATAAGGTACCAGAATTTAGTGACTAAGTGAAGCCTTTCAGTTGGATTGCACTTAGCAGAATTTGATGTTTTATTTTCACTTATTTATTGTTTTGCAGAACTGGGGATTGAACTCAGGCCCTTGCGCTTGCCAGGGAAGTGCTTATTCTACTGAGCCATCTCCCCAGCTTGATGTGTTTTAGATTATACCTCATAAAGATACATACCAAGGAAAAATCCCAAAACTGCCTTAGAAGGTGGCAAGAATCATGGGGTAAGTATGCTTGGACAGGGAGTATTTTCAAAGGAATTAGTAGCAATGTATCTTTTTTATTGTAAAAAATGTTTTAAACATTCACTATATATCTTAGTTACCTCTCTGCTTCTGCTGCTGTGTCCTGGCGAGAATCCACAACCCCACACAGGAGCCACGAACTCTTCACCTAGAAACTGAGTGATGAAGAAGGACATCCTTGTATTTTTAAGGACCTACTGCAGAATACGCCAGAACCACTGGCCCACAGCGATAGCTGCATGGTAGGGTAGGAAGACAGTCTTTACTGCATTCCACGTGGCTCTGTGGCCAACTACAAATCTGAGCTTTACAAGGGAGAAGGAACAGTGAGACAATAGCCTCAGTCACAACATGGTTTTGGAATATGCCAGGAGAGGTAGAACCCTTCTTCTCCCTTAATGCAAGCGTATGTCCTGTTAGTGGGGCATTAATTTGCCGTTTTCTGGATGCCTTAAGTATTCTGATAACATTTTCCTTCAGTTTAAAAACAAAACAAAAAGCCAACTGACTCTGATGAGGTCCTTTTCACAGCCAGTGAAGTTTTCCTTCCATTTTCAGAGACAAACGCTTCTCTGAAGGTCTCTTTTCATTGATGTTCTCAGAATTTCTTTATATAAATGATAATCAACATAGTATTTTAAAAACCTGTATAAATGGCATCCATTTCATCTTTTTTTTTTTTTTTTTTGGTTCCTCGAATGCCTTCAGGGCACTTTTGGCCAGCGGGAGAGGTGTGAGGTTCGAACTCCAGCAACCTGAGGCTGACAGCTTTGTGGAAGCAGCCACTTAAAGGCCTGAGCTAGGGCCAGGC